TGATGAAGAAGAAGCTGCCCGAGTGTCTGCAGTCGCTGCTCGACCACCGAGAGTCGCTTCTGGTGGAGCTCTACGAGCCGTGGGCGCTGCTGATGACCGAGGAGGCGAACCTGCTCGCCGGCCTCCTCGTCGGCCTCAACTCCTTCGACTACACCGTCTACCTGAAGGGCGACGACTCGGTGCTGACCGCCTTCGAGCACGAGCCCGTCATCGACCTGCAGTACTACCTCCAGGATCCGTACGGTGCCGCCGATGTGCAGGTGTTTTCGGAGAAGAAGCAGCAGCAGCAGCAGCAGCAGATGACCAATGGAGAGCAGCTCAACAACAGCGAAAACAGCAGCAACGGCAGCAAAGACGAGGTGGACAGGGAAGAAATGGCCACAGCTGCAGCAGCAGCAGCAGCTCCCGACGTGGAGGTCCTTCTCGAGCAGAACAGCTACGTCGAGGAGATCAACAAGCACCTAAAGTGAGTCCGCCTGATGAGAGGCAGCAGCCGTTGTGTAAACAACAACAACAACAACGTTTACCTTTTTCTTTCCTCTCCCTCACCAGGGCGACAATCAAAACGCTGGAGGAGAAGATTGAGACGCTGCTGGAGCGGCGAAGCGGCTCGGTGAGCAGCAGCAGCAACGACGGTCATAACAGCAGCAACCAGCAGCCACAACCTCACTCCTCATCCTCGGCCAGGTCGCTGATGGAGTTTGGCACCGCCCTGGTCGCCAAGGAGAAGCAGATCATGGAGGAGGAGCGGCGGCGACGGGAGGCGGAGAAGCGCCTGGAGATGGAGGCGAAGCTGCGGGAGGAGAGCGAAACTGCCCGCAACTGCCTGGAGCGGGACATTCAGGAGAAGCAGGAGACGATTGTGACGCTGCGGGCGCAGCTCGATGAGGTCAAGGCGATCAACATTACGATGTTCAGCAGGCTGCAGGAGAGGGAGCGGGAGGCGAAGGAGAGGGCGAGGCGGACGGCCGAGTTGGAGACGCTGCTCGGCCAGCAGAAGAAGGAGATTGGGCAGCTGGAGAAGCGGTAAG